TGTATTTACATTCAATCACTCCAAAATACTTTCTGTACCAAGTTTTGCAAAAATCCGTTATGATTTGATAAAGTTATTGAAGGTTTTAATTGTGTAATGCATTTTAATTTTTAACCTGTTTGATTTTTGTATTTATATATGATGCATTATTACATAATAGGTTTATTATCGTATTTTTTTTTGAGTTTTTATATAAGTTTAACAATTGCAATACTTTAAATTTATTTTCCCTAAGATTTTTCTGAAATACAGTGCCGTTCGTATTTACCCCGGTATTTTAGGAAAGTTGCAAAGTATCGAGGTAAATACGAACGCTAAGTTTCCTGCGATTGTAATTTATCAAAAATTTTTGCTACCCCATAAAATTGTTCTATGGAAGTAAAGTAACAACTTCATGCACCAGAATACCGGAAGTATTTTTTTTTAAAGAAAAAACTTATGTTATTGTTGAAACTTACTAAAAGCGATCGGATTTACCCCGGTTGACCCTAACACAATTCAATTCAATTTATATTAATATGATCAAGACCGAATTTATGAATTTTTTTCAATATAAATGTATAAAAAAGATTATAAAAGAAAAGATTTTGATGTTTTTCAATGAAATAACACCATGGCACAAAGCGGCATGGCAAAGTAAAAGAATATAAATCTTATAAAGATCGATAATTTAATATAAATTTAATCTCGGATATTCAATATAAGTACAAAAGCACTCTTTTGCTGCTTCATAAACCACTTTTTTCACCAACATTTATTGCACCGTTTTCAGTGACGCGTTCATATTTGACAACTGTTAAGAAAGTGGGGTTGGGTTGGCATTACCATCAAAGAGTCGCAGTACGACGTACCAGTATTATACTTGTATCGTACGAGTATGCTGTGCTTCTTATTTCAGAAGTACGACGTACTGGCATTGTACTAGTACTATACTTTTATCGAGTACTCACATTTTATAATTCTAACAGTACGACATACTTTTATTATACTAGTACTGCACTGGTACGTACATACATAATTATTTTGTACTGGTATGAAACTAGTATAATACCAGTACTCCGTACTCGTAAATAACGTTTAATACGCTTGGCTATCTGGGTATATATATATATATATATATATATATAATATGAAACTTCTTAAGGTTTACTATTTTTAACAGGACCCGAAAGTTGACTAAAAATATACCTTAATAGGTTATTATTGGCAAAAAATATTAATTCTCAAAAATCGAGAAATTATCAATTGGTAATTATGATTTCTATTGTTTTTGAGGTCCCTGATTACAAATCTGAAGTCAGATTCCAAAAATTCAAAATGTCGGATATGAAAATTTTTAAAATTTATCAATTTCTATGAATCTTTGAATCAAGGGGTTTTTGTGGTCCCTGATTACAAATCTGAAGTTAGGTTTCAAAAATTCAAAATAGCGGATCCAATATGGCGGACATAAAGTTTAAAAAATTAAAATTTTTTTATTAAACTTGGTATAGCAAGATGTAACTATAGTGCCTGATTATAAATCTAAAGTTAAGAGTTCAAAATATGGGAGCATCTAATATGGCTGATAATAATTTTTTATATAACCTGGTATCAAACAATTTTTGCTCGCTGCTAATTAGATATGGAAAGATTAGTATTAATTAGTAAGATAAGGTTAGACCACAAATTAGATAATAAAATTTTAGATATATTTTGACCCCCTCTTCCTTTGTGACACTTTTCACATAGTAAAAATTAGAAAATGACATATGCTGTTACTCTTACAATGTAAGTGTAGTACTTAATAATTTAATATTAATAATAATAATATAATATTTAATAATAATAATATATACTTACAATGTAAGTGTATAACAGCATATGTCATTTTCTAATTTTTACCATGTAAAAAGTGTAACAAAGGAAAAGGGGGTCAAAATATATATATATATATCAGGCACAATAGTTACATCTCGCCATACTAAGTTTAATAAAAAAATTTCAATTTTTTAAACTTTCTGTCCGCCATATTGGATCCGCCATTTTGAATTTTTGAAACATAACTTTAGATTTGTAATCAGGGACTCCAAAAACCCCTTGATTCGAAGATTCATAGAAATTGATAAATTTTAAAATTTTCATATCCGCCATATTGGATCCGCCATTTTGAATTTTTGGAATCTGACTCCAGATTTGTAATCAGGGACCTCAAAAACAATAGAAATCATAATTACACGCCAGTCAATCGTGCAACAGCAACAGCAGCAACAACAACAGCAACAACAACAACAACCACAATCACTACCACTACTACAACCAGGTCCACATTCACCACAACATCAAAACTCGGTGCTGATTTCCAAACAACAACACTTGGAATCACTGAGTCAAAAAATTCAGCAACAACTAAATACACAAAAACAACAATTACAACAAAGACAACAGGAAATAGAGAAAAAAGAAAATCACATGCAATTCCAACAACAGGAAGTCAAAAACCAAAGACAGGAGCTACTAACACTTCAACAAGAATTGAATACACAAAAAGAACAACTACAACAAACGCAACACGAAATGGAGGGTGAACAAAATTACATGCAAACACAAAAACAAGAATTTGAAAACAAAACACACGAACTACATTTACAGAGGGAACAATTTGATCAGGAAAAAAGGGATTTTGAAATTAAAAAACAAAAAATTCAAAAAGAAAAAGAAACCGAATCACAGCGTTTAGAATATGAAGAAGAACTTGCTCGACAACGAAAAGAATTTATAGACATTGAGATGGAAAAAATCCAAGCAGAAAATGGTTCCCAAACACACGATACACGAACAATACAACTACTTCAACAACATTTACAAGATTTGAACATATACTCCGATAAAGTACAACAACACATTCAACAACACAAAACCAAAGTCACACAACCATGACAAAAGAATCAAGATACCCAAAGAGAAAACAAGACAGAGAAGAAGAAGGCCCAAGAGCAAAACGTCGTCAGTATCATTATAATCTTATTCTCTCTTGTTCACTCTTATTCTATCTCATTTTCTTTTATTCTTTGTCCTTATCTATCATTTTCTCTTATTCTATCCCGTACTCGCTTATTTCCTTTCGTTCTCTTTTAGTCTTTCTTATTTTCGATCATTCTCTTTCATTCACTTATTCTATCTCATTTTCTTTTATTCTCTGTCCTTATCTATTATTTTCTCTTATTTTATCCCGTTCTCTCTTATTTCCTTTCGTTCTCTTTTAGTCTTTCTTAATTTCGATCATTCTCTTTCATTCTCTTATTCTATCTCATTTTCTTTTATTCTCTGTCCTTACCTATTATTTTCTCTTATTCTATCCCGTTCTCTCTTATTCTCTCTAATTCATTCTCGTTCTCTCTTATTTGCTCTGGTTTTATCTTATTCTCTTTTATTCTATTTTCTCCTCATTCATTCTCTCTCTTTCTCTCTCTCGTTCTCTGACATTTTCTCTTATTTTCTCTCATTCTTTCTTATTCTCTTTTATTCTTATTAATTTACTGTTATTTTTTCGCAGTCTCTCTTATTTTCTCTCGATCGCTCTTATTATATCTTATTCTCTCTTGTTCACTGTTATTCTTTCTTATTCTCTATTTTTCTTTCTCCTTCACTCTTATTCTGTCATTATCCCTTATTGTTCCTCGTTCTCTGTTATTCTCTCGAGTTTTATTTCAATCTCTCTTATTATTCTTTCTTAATCTTTCTGATTCTTTTGCGGTCTCTCTTATCCTGTCTTGTTCTTTCTAGTTCTCTCTTATTCTGTCTCGTATTTTCTTATTCTCTTTTATTCTATTTATTTCCTTTAATTTTGTCCCTTTTACTCTCTTTTTCTTTTTTATTCTTTGTTATTCTCTCTTATTCTATCTCGTTCTCTTATTTCCTCTCCTTTTCTTTTATTCTCTGTTGTTCTATCTTTTTTTGCTTATTCGCTCTTATTTTCTATTATTCTTTCTGGTTCACTTTTATTGTCACTTATTCTCTCTCATTATCTACTGTTTTCTCTTATTCTCTTTTGTTCTTTCTTATTCTATTTTTTGCTCTTATTCTATCTCATTGTCTCTTAATCTCTCTCGTACTCTCTTTTCTTTTATTCTCTCTCATTTTCTCCCGTTCTGTCTTATTCTCTTTTGTTCTCTCTTATTCGTTCTTATTAGACATTACTTTTTTAAAATTTTTTATTAAAAGTAAATTTAAAAATAATTAATTACAGCTGAAGAGAAGGAAAATTCATCATTCGAGATCACAGAGTTCCATTCCACAATTCAATCCACTTCCGTCTATGCAAGCTCCTTTGCAATCAACATGGCAGCCTCAAATTCCTTATCAACAACCACCTTTCGTTTTTCCACAACCACACCCACGTGAAAAAGTTCCCGAGAGTCTCCCGGGAATGGATCCCGGGAGACGGGTGAAACCGGGAATTTCTGTAAATTTCAGTAGAAAACGATCAAGAGTACTTAAAGAACATATTTAATCGCGGAAATCTCAATCTAATAGGATGATGTACTAAAATATTCTTCCAAACACTAGATAGTCACAAAAATTTTTAAAAAACATTTTGATAACTTTTGGCAAGCTTGTTTGATTAAATTAATAAGCAATTAGTAACTATAAAAATTCAGGAAGTCTTGTAGAGAATAATAAAAATTAGGTCAATCCTAAACATTTTCATCGATAGAGTGAAACCCAATGAAGTAAAAAAGAAAATATAAATAAGTTAGGATATTAAGTATCTTACGGTAATCGAAGTCACTTTTTGTAAAGTATTTTTGGGAAATGATCCTTATATGGAAGAATTACTAAAACGTCACGAAGTGTCTATCAAGAATTCAGAGTATTTCTGACTTTCGCAAATTTCACCTCATTTATCAAAAATAAATCATCAAAAGCCCAAGATAAGTTTTTAATGTGCAAACAAGTTGCTTTTGGTAAATTGATTTAGAAACAAAGTGCTTATGAATAATAATTTAACCAGATTGTTTTCGTTAATTTGATTTATTAAAAGATTTTAACTTTTTAATACCACATCGACAAATATTAGATTTCATTTTTAAAAATTCAGTAAGGATTTACTTATACAAAGTGCAATTTAATTTAACGCATGAACAGTAAATAAGAAATTTTTTTCTTTTAAAATGGAATACAATTGTGCTAATACGTAGTTTCCTAATGTCGAAGTAACATTATTTTTTGAGAACAATATAGGAGAGACCGGGGCTAAAAGGTCCACTTGGTAACATTAATTGTTATATTTTTAACAACAAAAAGTGTAAAAAGAAAGAATATATCTTATTAAAAGTATTGTTCTTGACTATTGTAAATAATAACATTTGATGCAACAATATTACATAATTTAAGAATGATAAGCGACATTTTACGAATGTGCTATCTGGAACTTCTAGCCCCAGGGTCAGGATCTAATAATCTTTTTTATTAGAGTTATTAAAATTAAAAACGCCCAAAAATTGTTGCTATATAGAGACCCTTGACAATTGACATCATTTTTTTTTAATTTATACGATTTTCGACTTTTGTAAATTTTTGCTGATAATTGTTGATAATCGATTACTTATTTTTTTCTCGCTGTTGTAACAGTTGTATCCGTTGATAAGGAGAGAAACATTTATGTAAACAGTAAAATTTAGTTTTAAGGGGATTAAGAAAACTCGTAGTGGACCTTTTTACCCGTGGACCTGTTAGCCCCGGTCTACCCTAAAGAAAGACATATCTTGTGACATGTAAAAATTATGTCCATATGTAAATTAGTTTAATCTTGGGACTATCAATCTCGATTTTAAATGAATCATTTAATTATTTACAAAAATATTCAGAATATTCACAAAAATATTGGTTATATTGTAACTCATAGAAAATTGTAAATAGATATTTTGTGACGAGGTTGTTCCAAAGTATGCATCCTAGTTACTTAATTCGATAATCTAATCATTTACTTATTTACAAAGTGAAAGTTAATTTTACGCATTAACAATATAAATGATCTTATTTTTTTTCTACGTTGTTTATAAATGTACAGATATAATTTTCTACTCGCAGTACTTTGGATATTATGCCGTTGATTGGAACGACATGAACACAGTAAGAATCACGAACGTGTTTTATATGGTGGTTGAAGTTAAAGTTCAGTTCTTTATTTTTAATTTCTTGATTACTATCCTGAGAAATTATAAGTTCACGTAATACAGCGTACAAATTTCCTTGCAATTTTAAAAAGTACTTAATAATACCAAAATATTCTTTTTGATTTGCCTTCCACTGAACATGGAAATTTGTGCGCTTTACTTGGCGAGTATACAATTCAGAAGTGAAAATATCTTCTCTTATTTTGCATCGCTTAAAAATCAGAAAACCTGATTCTTGGAATTCATCGATTGTAAAATGTAATGCAGTACATATTACTCTAAGGTCGCTATCTGGAACAGTATGATAGGTGGGCGCACCGTGTGCGCGACATTGAGTGTCCTTTAAATGCCTTGCTGGATTGATTAAATATTTAATGCTGCGATAAGCTTGAAAAATTTTTATAGTATTGGACAATTCTACGTCTATTTTGTTAGATCCATGAATCATTTTTATAAGCTCGCCGTTCTGATCCTCAGACGAAAAGGCCGACCAAACCCAGAGTGGACCCCACAGTTTAACAAACAGTGCGAGATGTTTCAGTTGATGTACATTATAGGAACACTTATTGACTTCATACAATCGTTCAACATCTATTACAAAAATATTCAAGAGCGTATCAGCGAAATCTAATTCCGTTGAATCAATTTCTTCTGAACACAATATTTGAATTCCCCGAGAGAGCAATAAAAAATGTTGATAATGTGCATCATTTAGACGATTTTTCAAAACAATCGGTCCATAATAAAGAATAAATGCTCTGAGTTCAGAAGCCTTCCAGTCACAAAGTTGATTTAACTTTCTTGGTGTTCGCGTAATGTCTTCTGGTGGTGCAATTGACTCTAAAATAGCATCAATTCCATCTCGCTGCTCTTTCCGCAAATAATAATCTTCATTATGGCTACTCGAATTACACCACAAAGTTAAAAACATTAGCATTACACCAAGCAGAACGGAGTGCATATAGTCAGGTGGAAAATCTATGGATCTATCAAAGAATGGTATATTTGTAACAATAGATTTACCTTTTACGCCTTTGAAATGCTTTAAATTTTCGTATCTTTCGACGATTTCAGTTTGTTTTTGCATGCGTTCAGCAGATCTTAAAACGGAATTGTCCACATCAACTGGAAAAACCCAATTTGTACCCCCACCCACTTCTGAGCTTTCACCTTTAGCTTCACAGCTTCCACAACTATTCTCGCCATTGTATTGCATAACGATTTGTACCGAAGCTTTTGCCGGAGCATCTAAACATGCTATCGGAGCAATTACTCGACTACGGATTGTTTGATTTAACGTCTGATTAAACCATTGAAATCCATTTGTGTGTAGACTTTTTAAAACCGTTGCAAAAGGTTGAAGAAAGGAGTTCATTTCTGGTTTTTTTTTAACACTCCTGCTGGAATAAAAAAGCCCACAAACAAATTGAAAATTTCTTCTAAATTTTGGATGTATATTTGCAACTTGTGCATAAACTGGCCAAATTTGACTTTTTCCGCTTTTGGAGACTTGCGCTCCATCTGTATACCAAATTAAGAATATATCATATTGGCCAGGTATGGCAATGGGTTTTAAACGTCGAAATTCTGACGCAGACGTTAAATCGTATATTTTTCCGGGGTCTTTGTTTGCGCACTCACTTTCGAAGGTGTTTATTAATGTACTAAGATCCCTAATTTCAAAAGCACTTCGCAATTCCGCTTCGAGGTCGAATTGTAAAAAGAAACTGTTAATTTTATTACTATTACAAGAAGGGCAATGTTCCAATTGAATTTCATCCCATTTTCCCAAATAGTTATGACAATTTGAACAAATTTTGTGTTTTACAAAAAAATTTGATTGCGAATGCGGTAAGATCTGTTCGATTAATGATAATAATTGATGTTTCGTTTTCGGAATAATATGATCTTCAGGTAAAAGCAAATTTAATGTACTCAATAAATCTCCTAACGCTTTTTTAGTCAATCGATTTTCGACATATACACGTAATATATGGCACAACGCATGGCCACCACTAACAGTGGCTTGTGCATAAATTGGTAGATCTAGTCAAGCTGTATCATTAACATTATTTTCATTGTCATCACTATCATTTAAGGTTATTGTAGAGGACGCTGCTAACGAAAGCGATTCAGAAGATGTAGAAGAGGAATCTGGTATATCATCAACCGAATCATCAGAATCAACTCCAATTTCGTCAACTTGGTCATAGTCTAGTCTAGGTGAGGAGGTATCATTCTCTTGTTCAGAAGTTGTTTCAACTTCATTATTCGACAAAGAAGTCGTTGAAGATGAAGCAGAAATGGAAGACATTTCTTCATTTTCGTTTACAGTAATGGAACTCTAAAAATAATTTTAAAATACATAAGTTATATTACATTGCAAATGTTGTTAAGGATGTACGAGCGAGAATTTAGTAAATTATAAAACTTCGTTTTTTTAATATATAAAATATGTAACATAATTTTTTTAAAGTTTGGAGTCGAATTACTAAGGTTTTATTAAATTATACGGATTTTAAATAATTAACTGTTCACATTGATTCTAATGGAGTAACCTAAAAATCGTCCATATATTTGTAAAACATTGATCATAAAATTTCAAATTGACCATATTTTTTTAATTAGTACAGAAAGACAAATGGAAATAGTTTACTATTTCCAATCCACATTTTATTATTGATTATCGTTTTTCTATTGTATGTGACACTAATAAACAAAAGTTTCTCTTTAAAGTCTGAATGTAGGGGAAATGAGGGCGAATCGGAGCAGTTAACGTTTCTCAAAAACAACAAAATTTAATTAAATTAAATTTAATTAAAAAAGAATTTAATATTGTTCAATACATGTGTTATTACTCACACCATTTTCACTTTTATGTTTGGTAGTTTTATTTTTAACTTCTGGAATTTGGGTTTCTCATTTTTACAGAATGCCAATTTTTTCTATATTTTTTCCCTAATTAAGTTTAACGTGAGTGTCTTATAAAGCTGATATCCTTGACTTTTGTGAACAACAAATAATTGTGGGTTTCTCAGTTAAGAAATAAAGATATATTTTAAATAAAAAAATAGACTTGTAGTCAAAACGCTGAAGAGTGAGGTTTTGTATTATTATTTCTTTTATATTCTAATATCAATTGAAAGAATTCTGTATTTTAAAAATTTTTAATTACTTTATATTGTTTAGTTCTACAATTTCTATACACAGAAAAAAAGAGTCTGACTCCATTTACACCTTAAATTCAGCCCATATATTGTCCCATAAGTCTGCCCTTGCTTAACGGGGCTGACTTCGTTTACACCTTACATTCAGCCTCGAAAATAGGCTGAAAGTAAGACTTTTTTTAGTGTGTAACAGTATACATTTATGACAGTTCCGTTTTGTCATGATCTAATGTATCATAATGGCTAAACTTAAAATTAGACTTGGGTTAAGAAATATCATTAAATTAAAAGGCGCGCCTGTTTAGCCACATCATCCTTATTCAACATAAAAAAATTAAAGTCTTTATGTTTGTCAGACGAGGTTATGCACGTACATCCTTAAAACACTATAAACTAAACGAAATATTACCATTATGAGACTTTTAGTTGTTTACATTTGCAAAAATTCAATATTTATGAATTGTGATAAGTTTTAGCATAAATTTTGGAAAAGGTCATTTTTTTTGTTTTCATATGTCCACCTGAAAATTAATAATTATTAGTTTAGCGTCGACTGTAACTACATTTGGTGAATTCTACTAATTAGTGTTATATTTTAAAATTATTAGTATTTCAGTCTCAAAAAATTGCAAGAAATTGATGTACATTTACGAAAAAATATTTTGAATTGAATACGTTAATTATTAAGTAATAATTTAATTTTATTTCGGAACATTTTTTTAATTATCATTAATTTTCTATATTTTAACACTAAACTAATGTTCTATGAATATGCAATGAATTCATAAACATTCGATTTATTATTAAGTTTATAAAATAACCCATTATTATAATAAAGAAATTTGTTTTCTTCATGTCAATCGATTAATTATCTAAAATGTTTTTTTAACAGACCCATTATATTCTTTGCAAGTTTTCTAAAGTCAAAATCACAATAAATAATAATTAATTACCCTTACTTGAACACAATATATTTAAAAATTTCTTTTAGTAGAATTAATTTTTTACTCAAATATTTATAAACATTTATATTTTTATAATTAAATATTGCAATGAATTATATGTTTAGACTAAAAAGGAAGATTTAGCGAAAATGTTATTTTAAACTTCTTTTGAATGCAAAACTTTAAAAGTTTTTTATATAATTTTTTTCACAGCCACTTGCACGTAATTGTTAAAAACTACGTATTGAAAAATATATTTAACTAATTTGATGCTAATATTTTTCGAGACCTTTTATACCAAAAGAATGTTAATTTTAATTTTTTTTTTCGAAAAACAACGAATCTCCGTTCTCATGGTGGGAGTCGAACACAACCTCTCCCCATTGCCAATGGGCTATTCTAACCAATTTAGTTACACAGGGGTTCAGAAATCCAATCTTTTCAGAAATTTTCTTTTATTAGAGCAGCCCACCGACAATGAACAAGTGTGGTGTCCGCCTTCAGAAGTAAAAATGGTCAACCTTCAAAAACCTGCCAAAAAATTTATTTTGAAAAAAATTAAATTAAAGATTTAAGTGCAAATATCTCTGTTTCTTCTAAAAAATTAAGCAGATTATAATTTTTTTTAACACAAAGAAATCTTTAGAATGAAAAATTAAAAAAGGTTTGGATTTTTTCTACATTCGATTCAGATAATCAAAAGAGTTTGAGAAAGTAGTCCCGTTTTTTGAAAATGCAATTTTTATTTGATAAACTGGACAATTTTCTGGAAAAATTATGATGAGTTTTGAGGTGCCCTGAATCAAAATATCATGGTCCGACGATTGTCTGTATATCTGGGGGTCTGGCCGTAAACACAAACTGTTGTTAAGACTAAGACAATAATTTTTTAAACAATAATCGGACACGAATCTGAAGTCCGTTTTGGTGCATCTCGATAGGAGTTTCTCCTAACCTCAACAAACTTGTAAGATTTCTAGTCGTAAAAAAAATCTTTTTTTAAATTGATGAATTTATATGAAACTTAATATCTTGGGGTTTTTGTAGTTGCTGATTATAAATCTAAAGTCAGATTTTGAAAAATCAAAATGATGGATTCAATATGGCCGATAAACTTTATAAAATATTTTTAAACAAATAGCGATATTTTCTAAACAGATTGTTTGTTTGAAAATCCTCACGGTTAAGTTGCAGAAAATTATTTTCTGAAGAAAATAAGCTATATTACATTAAAATTAAATAATTTTTTAAAAATTCTGTAAAAGCATTATGATAGGAAATCTTAATCACATGTAAATCTTATAAACAAATAAAATTTTTAAGGTTTCAATTTTTTTCTTGAAAATTGATATTCCTTTTTCAATTATATAAATGTTCGTTAATTATTTAAATGTTCGTTAATTATTTTTTCCTGGAGGTTTGCATTTCCGCGGATAAACGAACTTAAGGTTATTATGTGATTACCACCCTCCTAAAGAAATATTCAAACCTTGCTTTGATAAAAATTAAATCCAAATTTTTTGGTAATTACTACATAAAATATAACTTTAGATGTTTAATGTGCATTAAAACGTCGATAAACACAGAAAAATTAAAATATTTTATTGTATTTTAAAAAGCCACATTTTCAATGTGTTATAAAAAATTGAATATCTTGTAAAATAATAAACGTTTTTTTAATTCCTTAAGATTAATGCAAAGATAAATTTATAAATTTAAATTTATTTTTAATTAAAATTCAATACTTTTTTTTCATTTTGTATTAACAACTGTCCATTAAATGAGAATTATGACAACGCATACTATTTTTTGTCACTGTCAAAATTACCAAGATAATTCAAAAATTTTATAGTCACTTTCTGTACTAAACATGTTTTTGTAAAATACATATATATGTAAATATTAATTAAGTTTATAAAAAAATTTCATAAAATAAATTTTCTTGAATTTTAAAAACTATTTTGTTGTTTGAAAAAATTATTATAAATTTTTTGAATTTTTGTTAAACAACTTTGCTCTCCTTTTTACGAAGCAAATTTCATGTTAATGCAATTATAATTTAAAACATGTAATCTTTGTCAAGCTTTTATTATTATTTCCTAGTTTAACGAAGAAAATTTATTTATAATCTTATTAGTTACAAAAAGATTACAGGTAAAAACTTGTCCACCACATAAGTATAGTTTTGGCGGAGTTTTGTATTCATAGAATAAAAACAATTTTTCCGACTTAAACGACGTTTCAACGTACATCTATTGGAAAAAGTTCAAGTTTTATACGTAGCAACCACAAAATATTCCAAGTATATAATAAATCATGATCTTCAGAAAACCGAAATCTTTAAATTTTTAAAAAAGTTGCAGCCATTTTATTAATTTTCAAAATTTTCTAATTTGAAAATATAGAACATCAAGAATACTACTAAAATAAAAACAATGTACACATTATAAATAACGTATAGCGCTAGATTACAAAAAATAATTATTATTATGTTTAGAAAAAAATTTTTTTTACTTTCGATACGTTTGAACATTTATCAAACTTATTGAAAAAATTTTTTTATCTCGTCACTGCAAAAAATTTGGAAGAAAATAAAACATTTTTTTAAAGAAAATTAATTTTTTGATTTTTTTTAATGGCAGCCACTTTGTTAATTAGGATTTCTTTATTGTTTAGAGCTTGCAAAAAAGAGGATCTAAGACACTTAAAATAAATTAAAAAATATTGATTTTCTAAAAAAATAATATTAAACTTGAATTAGAAGTTGAAACCTATTCGCCCTACATGAATTTAAATAGAATTATCGATATGTATAATTTATTGCTTATTTGCCTATTTTAATTTTTTTCAATAGATGGATATAATTTATTCTAATTTAACTTTTTATACTTTATTATTATTTGAAAAGGTAATATTAGAAAACAATTAAAAATAATTATATTAAATTTAAATACATAATAAATTAATTGGATTTATTTAAATAAAAATAAACTTACCAATGGAATTATGTTTTCATATTGCCATTCCGATGATAAAAATATATATTTATACGAATGTAGATATTTTCCTACCAAGGACGGTGTAATCTTTCTTACATGGTAGCACTGAGACTAAATGATTTTTTTATCACGATTTTCCTTTCGGACATTTTCGTGTATGATGAATTAACAGTTTTTATCTGAAAATGTCATGATCGTCAAATCAAAACAAAACAATTCATTTCTTTCCTTTTGATAAAATATGGAGACAAATGAAAATTTGCACAAAATATCTCTTTAAAAATATCAATAAGTGAAAGAAATGTTTGATTGTGTTTAATAACTATTTTATTTTTGCAATTTAAAATATTGTTATAATAATAATTCCTTCAAAAAAGTACTGAATTAAAATTTTTTATATCATACAGTACGCTGATTTAGTGAAAAAAAAACAAGTGAAATTTCCGTTCAAAAAAGAGAATGCGTCGCATTTTAGATAAAAGAAAGGAAATCAACGAAATAAATGTTTTAAAAATAATTTGTTTGATTGAAAACATCAGAATTGTTTTTTATTTAATAAAAGAGACTCCATTACCAGTTTTAATAACCAAACTTTTTTTAGAAAAACAATTTTTGTACGCACCCTTTTTTTCAACTAAAAGGTGAGTTGTCCTCCTAATTTTTTGACAGAAATTTCACTTGTCCTTTTTTTACTAAACCCACGAATATTAATGATTATATCCACATTTAAACATAGATCTTAATAAGATAAAGTACTATAATATCAATACATAATGTAACATTAAAATTGCGATTAAAAGTATTTATCATAGTTTTCTTCAAATGAGTTCATCTATGACAGTTTTATAACAGTCACATTATTTTAAAAATCCAAATTAAATAATATTTGAAAAGTTTGATTACAACTAATGATATATTTACGTCAACATATATTTAAAACATCAAAATAAAAGTAAATGTTTGTTTTCCTTACCTGTGAGTCAACTTTGATTACACCAGAATCATTCAATTTTTTGTGTTTGGGAATCATAATTATTTCCTCGACATTTTTTCAACAGTAACGAAATAAATCAACACAAATATATTACACTTTTTAAGCGGAAAAAATAAAATCCTGTGTAAAATATCATTAACTGATGATTGATAATTACACGACCACACGAGGCTTCTTGATCCTTGTTTGTTTTGATACGCATTTTTATTTCACGTTCGTTATTTACTAACCTATTTACTTAAACCTTGAAACTTTAATGTCCCTAAAATGTAACTAGAATTTCTTTCCGAAATTCACAATTATGATTGGTTGTCCAAAATTTTACTGCTTGTCGAAAACCAATGGATTTTAATTATTTCTAAAAAATAGGAAAATACAATAACCTTCTACTCTCTATATTAAGGTACTTGCACAGCTCGCTGCTGCCTGCGCAGGCAGCCTCCCACCACGCTGTAAACGTACAAGAGTAAGAGAGACAGAAAATTTAAATCTGAATCTACTGATTCTCTGATTGGCTCTTGCTGGCTGCCTGTGCAGGCAGCAGCGAGCTGTGCAAGTACCTTTAAAGAGGGCTCAGTGGATTCTTTCTTTTCTGCACGCGGGAATATTCTAACCTAAAATATAAATTGTGCAACCAAAGTTCTAAAATTGAAAAAGTCATAATTAATTCACAGAAAATTAAATTAATGAAATAAGCATGAACGACCAGGAACGTAAATTTCTGATCGACTCTTTTGTTGAAGATGGTGAGTTTTATATTATAAAGAAAGAGAACATTTTACTAACTGATGACTCCGATATAAAAATCGGTGCAAGAATTCAGTTTGTTTTCAAAAGAAAGAACAAGAAAGGAGTTGAAAAAACGAAAATAATAACCGGCAAAATTATTATGGAATCAGGTAAGTTTTTTTAATCCTTTTAAATTCAAGTAAGTTTTACTTTAAAAAATGTTAACATTATACAATATAGTAATACGAAAGACAAAATAATTAATACAAAAATAATATTTACAGAATCTGATGATATTTTAACCGAAGTAGCAAATACTAGAAGAGCAGAAATTGAAGAGAATGAAATGACCAGAGAAGAAATGAAAGAAAAGGAAATGCTGGAATACAAAAAGAAACGATTAAAATTCGTTCAAAGAGCAAGGCAAGGGAATGTCGAAATGGCACTATAATGTTAGGAAAAGAAATAAAAGAAAAAGAAGATCTATTAAATAATGTCTCTAATGCTCTAAACTTAATCGCGGCAGAGAAGGAGGAACTTTTACGAATTGAAAACGTTTTTTTAACCATTAATAAATATTTTCATAGGCTTTCTTTTCTTTGTAAAGAAATTATCTCAATACACCTATTTAATTCATCATTCTGTAGTTATGCAAATCCATTTTCATCAAATCAAGTAATTGAAAATATAAAAACAGTTTCAACAGTTTCTTTTACTTTCTAATAAATAATCATCTCATCCAATTTTATTTTGTTTTATTACTAAAATATAAAATTAGTATATAATCCCAAATATTGGGCGTGTAAATTTTTCGTTATTAAAGAAGATTATTTCTTCATTACATTTTGTTTATTGAATCGCATTTATTTATTTTTATTTAAATATATTACTCTTGGTTGATCAAATATTATCGATTTTTTTATGAAATTTGTGAAAAATGCATCTACAAAAATTGGAACTTGTTTTTTTTAAGATTATTTAAATTTTAACTAAAACTTTCGCGCTTTTTTGTTATTTCATTAGAGTTAACATGTAAGTAGTCAGCTAAAAATTATAAAGTTGACTTTCGCATTTTAAAACAAAAGCTGAACACTTTGATTTAACCTATTTCAGACTGATAATTGTAAACTGACTTGTGAATTTAAAAAACGTTAAATAAAATTTAAATAATATGGAAGAACAAGTTCTAGTATCTGGAGATGGGTTTCTTACAATTGTGTACAAAAAATCAATAATATTTGATCCAGCAAAGCCGGAATTGAAGTGCGGTTCAGAAGTTTCTTACTATTGGCCTGAAGAATCCGCTTGTAAAAGAATTTACAAGGCCACTGTCGTTTCTATTTCCAGTAAGCTCGAAAAATTTATTTAAAATTTTTTTTTTTAATTTTTAAAAAATAAAATAAATAAAATAAAAAAAATTTTTTAATTTTAGTTTTTTAGTAAATTTTTGGGTTGTGAATCACAAAAAAAATTCACAAATTAAGCTTAACAAAAAAGGTGATTACTGAAGTAAAAAAATCTTATTTTCTTAAAAGAAAATTTTTTTAAATATGCCTAATTTTTATTTAATTTCTGAAATTTAAAATATTAAAGATTGAAATATTTCGCAAAAGTTTGATAACATTTTTTTTGTTTTACTATACACTACTACACATATACTCATGTTTTATAAAAACAAAGCACTATATTCTTTTTTTTCTGAATTTATTATATAACTGTTATATTAATATAATTTTATTCTAACCATTATATTAATAAACGATAAATTTTTATCTGATCACATTCATACATATGTCAAAGGAGGAAAATTGTTTAAAAAAATTATTAATGCTTAATAAATTTAATAAAGTTTAATTTAAACTTTTAAAATAAATTATCATGGTTTCGAGTTGAACAGCAAATTCTAAAAAAACAGGAAATGATTAAAAATTAACCGGGAAAACTAACACGATATATCAGAATAAGACGTAATTAAATAAGAAATTTTTTGGTTATTTTAAAAATTTGATCAAGATCAACATAAAAAATAAAATTCATTTGCATGTGTTTAACAAATAAATTTTCAGAAAATTACAAATATCAGAGTTTTTATTAAAATTTGTTTAAAAAACTATTTTTAGAAATAAAAGTTTTTTAAAAATTCTTAAATTTGTTTATAAATCTAATCGAAAAATTAACTAAAAAAACCGGAAATTTAAAACAAAAAAATTGCCACTCTTATTAGTTATCATTCTTAATAACAAAGATTATCACTAAAATGTTTCATCAAATTTTTTAAAATCGAAAATTAAATTATTTTTCAAAGACTTCTGTAAAATTATTTAGCTGATGAAAAGGAATTGCGTAGACTGCAGAAGGAAAAAATGCAAGATTCTATGAAAACCAATAGAAATAAGAAACGAAAAATGTCAGTCGATTCTAACGAGCATATTACAATAGAAGATGATTTAACGTCAAGCTCTTTATTGAGTAAAATTAATACTGCCTTACGTCTCAATAAAGAATTAAATGTTGTATTGGAGCAAATAAAACAAGTAAATTAAAAACAAAATGGTTAACTATATTTGACTTAAAGTATTATATACCTAAAATCTCATTTTGATAAAAGCAATATATTTTTACCCTCGACGTGTGAGAATCTATAGAATCATTGAAATTAATTAAAAAATACTCAAGATTTTTCTCTATTGTTAATAAGTTTCAATAAAACAAAAACTGACAAAGTATAGTCCTATTTTTTATGCAGATTTATACACATATAATCTCGTTTTTTATGCACTCAAATAATTTATATTCTAATTTGTAATGTTAAACAATTATTTAAATTCTCATTCTATAAAAATCGAATACACATACATATAATAAAATATATACATTTTGAATTTAGGTCGTAAAAAATGAGAAAGCTATTTCTGGGATACCATTGACGGAAAATATTTCTCAAATTGCATCTTCTTTGCAACTTCCAGTTGAGCCTTATGAACCTCACCTTGAACAAACTATCGCTTCTTCGTCAGAACAAGAAATTAACGTAATTAGGTCAACAAGTCCTAAAGCTATAGAGGAACCTGATGAAATATCCTATGAAAATGCAGAGAATGTAGAAGATAGTTTCTTCGTTTTTAACAAGAAAAATGCGGGGGAAGAGGTATTATTTCTTTATTTATTGTATTTGTATTTATTGCTTCTTCATGGCGAAAGTATTGTAATACCGATATTTTGCAAATTAATTTTTTTTTGACATATCTTCTGTTCAAAATTAATATTTTAAAAATTTTGACCCATTAGTGAACATTAATTTATCCAATGTTATTTATATTTTAAAAATGAATAATTTTGTCAGTATAAACTGACATTGATAACTTGTGAATGGTCTCTGAAGCGAGTGGTGTCTGATCTCTCCGTAGCTCAATTAGTTGGAGCATCCTACCGGCAATACAAAGGTTCTGGGATCATACTCCAGCAGTGTGAGACGACCCATTTTTTTCAGAGAAATAATTTTCTAAATAATTTTCAAAAATTTAAGCAGACAAACCAAGTCATTAATTTCTACCTTATCCAAACCAAAGATAAGTAATGAATTATTAATAAATAAGAAATATGTCATTTTTTCTCAATTAAATTTTCCAGAGGTGTATTAAAAAATGATTAAATTTTGATAAAATTTCTTTTTTTATTTTTTTGTTAAAAAATCTTTATGTAATTTTTATAGTTAGATTAGAGAGCATTTAAAAACTAATTAATTTACATATTTTCGACTTTTTTACTATAAAATATTACAAAGCTATGGATGTTTTACTATTTAAAAATTTTTAAAAAACATGATTTTTTGCGATTGTCATCGTTGGTGCTAATTTTTTTGAATTTTTATGCAAGTTGCAAAATACCTGCTACTTCTAATATACCATTAAGAAATTGATTGTAAACATTATTCATGAAGAAGCAAACTGTTTATGGAATAAATACAAAAATGCTTTTGCTTCCTCATGGGAAGCATTGTTTTACCAAAACTTTCCATAAGGAAGCAAAGTGTTCATGGAATGAACACAAAAAATACTTCAACTTGGCAACGATTTCTTTAACTTACCAGCGGTTTTTGTATTTGTTTTGTACTATTAATTAATTTATTTGTTATAGTTTCTGATTTGTTTTAATCCTATTTTTTAGGCAATTGAGTTACTATCGGGCAGTAACATTTTTATTAATAAAAATGATTTTAAAACTATTAAGCAACAAGCTCAATCCCAAACATCGCTGGCTCGAATGCTCATGACCACCATATTCAAAGAAAAAGCGCTGATCGAATGTAGTTTAATGGGGAAAGGAAGTAAGGATTCAAAATTACCCAGTTTTTCAAAAGATGCCATCGATACTATTTTGAGTAAGACTTAAAATGAAATATATTTAACAAATTTAAAAATAGTAATTAAAAATTATTTAATAAATAAGTACGAAATCTAAATAGAAAATAAAATAATTTGTATGAACTACTAGAATACTGCTTTAGTTAAAAATGATAAATATTGTATTTTTTAATATTCTTTACATTACAGAATTTTCTCGACGATATGCAGACAAAAAGGCAGACTGGAAGAAAGTCAGTGATACTGCGGTAAAGGAGAGTCTTCGGCATAAACTAAAAGAATTTAAAAATAAATTGAAGCCAAAGAAGTAAAACAAGAATTAAGTTACCTGAAATCAGACATTTTTCGTTCTTTGATCATACAGTTTTAAATCGTTTACAATTTCTTGTTTACTGTTAATGCGTTAAATTAAATTGCACTTTGTATAAGTAAATCCTCATTTAATTTTTAAAAATGAAATCTAACATTTGTCGATGAGGTATTTAAAAGGTAAAATGTTTTAATAAATCAAATTAACAAAAACAATCTGGTTAAATTATTATTCATAAGCACTTTGCTTCTAAATCAATTTACCAAAAGCAACTTGTTTGCACATTAAAAACTTATCTTGGGCTTTTGATGATTTATTTTTGATAAATGAGGTGAAATTTGCGAAAGTCAGAAATAGTCTAAATTCTTGATAGACACTTCATGATATTTTGGTAATTCTTCTCTATCATATAAGAATCATTTCCCAAAAATACTTTACCAAAAGTGACCTCGATTACCGTAAGATGCTTAATATCCTAAATTATTTATATTTTTCTTTTTTATTTCATTGGGTTTCACTCTATAGATGAAAATGTTTAGGATTGACCTAATTTTTATTATTCTCTACAAGACTTCCTGAATTTTTATAGTTACTAATTGCTTGTTAATTTAATCAAATGAGCTTACCAAAAGTTATCAAAATGTTTTTTAAAAATTTTTGTGACTATCTAGTGTTTGGAAGAATATTTTAGTACATCATCCTATTAGATTGAGATTTCCGCGATCAAAAACGTTCTTTAAGTACTCTTGATCGTTTTCTACTGAAATTTACAAAAATTCCCGGTTTTACTCCCGGGAGTCTCCCGGGATCCATTCCCGGGAGACTCTCGGGAACTTTTTCACGTGGGCAGACCCTTTTCCCATTATATCCAAGTCCAGTAAATTTAATGGTTAGTATCAACTTAATTTTTTATATTCAATTATTAGACTAGGAGAGCTTCGCTTCTTTTCGCTCCAACCCCCCACACTTTAAGGTTTATTAAAAATATCTATAAATTACAAAACTTATTTTTAACATAAATGTATTTTCATATAAATACTATTGTGTACTTTGACTGTTTAATCTTAAAT